TTAAGTCCTTCTTGCTGTTACCTTTTGGCGCCTCACTTATAGTATGTAACAGAAACCAATATTACTAGAAAAAGGAAAACAAAAATCATTGACCATGTGCTGAAAGAGTGAAGAAAACGGAATTGATCTGCTTTTGGCATTAGGCTGCTAAACGAAGTCTCTGACATTTTCTTGAGGCATGTTCCACATGTTATTCTTTCCTATATAAATTACTGCTGCTCAAAGGTTGTGAAAAGATCTAAATCAGATGGTTCCGTTACTGTTTCCTTTGTTCTGTCTGTGCTGATTTGTGCTTGGCCGCTGGACCAGTTATTTCCTTTTGCTGCTGCTTTGGTGCTGAATAATGTCCTACTTGCACCCATCAGTGGTTTACAACAAGTATGCTTATGCTGAAGTGCACTTTAAATGTACTTATTTTGTAGCATGGACGCTATATGTTGAATATTGTTAGAATTTGACGTTGCTAAGCTTTTTCTTTTGTTCTTCCTAACTGGTATGTTTTGCAACACTTTTACAGGGTTGACAACTTCTCAAATCGCCAGCAGCATGTTTACCTTGGGAACTGCAGCGGTTCTTCCATTCTATACTCTTATGGTTTTTGCTCCAAAAGCTGAATTGGTAAGTTTCTAATTATTACTAGGGAAATCTCTCATTTCATTAGTCTCTTCTACTGATTTCCTAGTTCCTCTTCACCATTTAGCTTTGCAATCTGAACTTCATGTCTGTGCAAATTCTATCGGAACCAAAGTTTTTCATTCAATTTTCCTTGTCGGGGACATTGTTTATGTGTTTTCTATGAAACCATTTCAATATATTCCCTAATGGTTTAAACCTTTACGGACAGAAGTTTTGCTTAATCTTTATGGTGGTTTGTATATATATTGATATACACACTCCTGTGATTCAGCTTTTGCTTGTGCTGTCTTATAGTCTTAAAAATCTTCTCTTCGTTTCATTGATTTGTGTAAAGTATTTTGTGCCGTGCTGCTATATATCTAGGGGATTCATGTATTCGGCTTGCATAATTATGAATGCAGACTAAAAAGACTATGGAAAGTGGTGTCCCCTTTATCGTGCTTGGGCTTCTCTATGCATATCTGCTATACCTGTCGTGGACACCTGATACATTAAGGCTGATGTTTGCTAGTAAATACTTGCTGCCAGAGGTACATGTCTACCGGGACTTGCATTATTTAACCTATCTTCTGTTTTTTTTAGATGCATACAATTGTTGATGATGACTGCAACTCATCTGCTCACTTTTATGTGTGCTGTTTTTTTGACGCCCTGAGTTTTAGCTATCTGGTATGGCCAAAATGTTCTCTAGTGAAATGACTATAGCTTCTGCATGGATTCATTTATTGGCTGTGGATCTCTTTGCTGCAAGGTATCCATCTCTCGTTTTGTTTCTCTCTTGAATTTTTCATGCTCACGCAGATAATCAGTTCGAGCTTTCGAGTTCTGACCATTTTGCTTCATTGTTTAAATCCAGGCAGGTTTTCCACGATGGACTGCAAAATGAAATCGAGACTCGGCATTCGGTTTCTCTTTGTCTGCTGTTTTGCCCCATTGGAATTGTTACTCATTTTGTTACCAAAGCAGTTGCAGGAACTGCTGCTGCAGGTGATAGACATAGAATGCACTGAGATTTACTGTATTTCAGTAACATTCAACTTCAAATTCTTTTGTATGGAACAAAGTGTGTTTTCTCTGTAATTTTACTTGGAACATCATCAAAAACATCAATTGCTTCTGTTTCTTCATGTTTATCAAAGCAATTTATTAATGGTGCCTTTCCCTTATCAAAGTCGGATTTTTTAATACGATGGGAACCGAAGGAAAAAGCTCTCTCAGAGAAGAGTTTCTTCCAAGCACAAAGAAGGTTAAACTTGGTGAGAATGAATACATGAACAGTAAGGATATCCACATTTCACTAAAGAGGGAAAGAATAGAATTCATGGTGGGGAAATACCTTTATGGTTACGCTGTTTGTAAAACCCATAGGGTTCCGGTATCTTAAATCTCAACCAAATATGGACCTGGAAACAATTGACTTGGATTGTGAGTATTATCTATCGTATCAGATTGCATTACTCGGATGATTATGGCAGGATAACTCATGGCCGGTAAGTTTCTAATTGGTCCTTTTACCAGAGTGGGTATGATTACCAAAGAAACTACCAACTGAAGATTATGATATGCAAATCCTTTTTTAAAGTATATGGTTTGACAATTTCACGATGGTTGCCGAAAGATGTTTTACTCGATTGTGTCCGAGTAAAACAAGAAAATTCACTTCATTTGTTCAAGTTCAGTGTCGAGCTCTGGTTTACGAGGGTATGAATAACTTGTGCTTTGTTTGTGGAAGAATGAGGCGCAAGAAGATTTTTTTTTTTGGTCTCAAAGCCGGCTATATCAACTGAACAACTTGTATCACCGTCGATAACAACAAAAACAGTGTATTTGAGCATAAACACAAAGGGCGATGAGTACAGCCTTTGGTTACTAGTCCTTTTAGTGTTAGGGTTCTTGTTTCCTATAATATTGTTTTTGTTAGGTAGGTAGGTAGGTAGTTTCTTCCAATAATCTCTTAACAGTGACATATCTCAAACGAGGACAAGAAAATAAATCACCAGCATATTCCAATGACTGATCTTTCAACGTGAATGTAGAATACCAACAATACAAACACATACAAATCATGGAACAGATCCATGCAAGCACTAGGTACTTTTTTCACAAGCTACGCCCCGAGCATTTACGATCCATCAAATCAACATTCCAAAACATCATCATAGTTTAATGTAGATGTATTATCTTATATATCAACAGATTATAAACGAGGAACAAATTTTCATCAATTAGCAAAAGCAGTCCTGAGATAAAAGTAGATGGAGCTGTATCCAACACCAATAAAAGATTAAATGTAATCAGTTAAACCCTTCAAGGGCAAGTACAAGCATTATCTTTTTACTGGGTAGCTGTAAACTATAAAAGAAAGGTAAATTTGAAACAATATTTCAACCTTACAAAAGGTAAATTTGAATCAATATTACAACCTTAGAACCTATTAAATGCTACTCTAGGGTCAATCGTCTATATTTGTTTTAGCATTTTTTTTGAAATGGTTCAGATGATAAACCATTTTGACAGTAAAAAATTCAGGCAGCGGATTACCTGGCTGGCAACTGATTAAAGCAATGGCATTTTACCACCCATCATGCCCCATAACCAAGGGTAACAAAATCAACATCCTCACAGTAAATGCTGCAAGAAATTGCATATTCATGCATAAAACCTATGTTGTCACTGCACAAAAAGGTAGAATAGTCGGCAAAAAAAATCATTACCACAGAAAAGAGGACGACTGCTCTTCAAATGCCTAACACCCTCCCCCCCCCCCCCCCGCAAAAAAAATCTATCCATCTATATATATATATATATATATATATTTCCAGAGCTACCCTAGTGTTTTTTTTGGTGAATATTTCCACAAACTCAGAGGCCAAGTCTTATTCACCTCTTCCCCAAAAACATTTTAACTGATGGAAAATGTCAAAAGTATCTTTGACTGGCTACTTAGGCTTCCCTTAATTATATTCAGCTAACCTTGATAGTCTACATCCTTTTTTTAAATTAGTAAAAATAACTTCTTATCTTTCAGAAAACAGAAAATATTTTACTCAAATGACCTGCCTCCCCATACCAACATTGTGCAGTTTCAAGTATCAGAATGAAGTGACCATAAATTAATATAATTCACTTCATACTACCCACCCCAAATCCCAGTCATGCAGTATTATGCTTCCAAAGCCACAGGTAAGAGAAAGACGAGAAGTTTGATGTGTGCACAAGAACATTCTTCACATACCAGAACAGCACAAATTAAGTCGGAAGAGAAGGCAATTTGATATATCTGCCTTTTGAAGAGAATCTTTCCTGCCACGTTCCAAGGTAATTGCTTCGTATATCCCTACAAAGTTATGGAGAATCAAAGATAAGATCTCTTGAAAAAAAATTTGATAGGAAATCTCTTGAAATTTAGTCACAAAAATATTGCTTTGCATTGAAGCTTTTTGCAGTTTTTTTCCCAGAAATTTCAGTAATGAGTCAAGAAAACCAAATTTTGTTGCAAAAACAAACATTAGAAAGAGCTCCTTGCCTCCTTCAAGGAATTAATGAGAGGTGATAAGATGGAAAGGAAGCAGAATAAGATTTCATTATGGTCTAATATGTTTTGAAATAGATATAATAGTCTATATTCCTTCTGGTGATATATTTGCCTGGCAAGATGTGGTAGACCCAACTTCTTGATTTTTCTTACAAATAACAGACAAGATCTGTGATATAAAATAAATAAAATTGTGGCATATCCAATGATTAATAAAAACAAAACTTTGATACACGATCCCTTCCTATGTGTTTACTGTCTTTTGGGGGTCATCCTATGTGTAAGCGTTGAAATCAACAGTATTTAGATCAAAAGGGAAAAAGATACTCCAAAGGAGATGCAGACTTCTTTATCCATAGCTCATTCACTTAAAGAAAAATGAAGAAGTTATACATACCAATGCCTAATATTGAGGAACAAATTAAAAAGCCTGGAAATGAGAAGTCCATTTTATACGCAATCTCCATGACAATTATGCATCCTCCAGCTGCCATTAAATGTCTCGGAGAAGAGAAAACCACATGCAACCTATGAACGGATGAAGTAGCTTCAGTTATATACAAGTCTTACATTGTATTTAGTCAAAAAGCTTAAAGCTGAAATAAATGGAAGTTATCCAATCAAAATTACAATCAACAAAATAACACCCCCCCATCTTTTTTTTTTTAAAGGATTATTTGAATGAGTGTATGCACTATGCAGAACCTTAAGGGGAAAAGAGGGATACAAAGGAATGTAGAACGAGGCTTCTGGCACATTATATATGCACTAGTCTGAAAATTTTGATGAAATAATGTAACAGTTCTTAAAAACTAGAAAAAATTATAGAAGCCATAGCACTGCTTTAGCTACTGTCATACTTCTCCTCTGCGATGCTGTCGACGTAGAATATCAATATTATTCCTAAGAGAACAGTACTCAGAAAAGGCCAGGCAGAAAATGGCAGTTCCACATTGCTGTCAGAGGATCCCTGATTCAATTTACGCAGAGAAGAATAAAAAATTCTCAAACTAGATAAGATCCATAAAATGAAACTAAACTTGTACACTATGAAATTACAAAAATGAATAGGAATAGCAGAACCCTTACTATGATAAAGTCCCACATGGCCACAGGGAATAAAAAAGATGTTGCAGAAGCAATGGTTATTGCATGAAGCCGCCTTTTGAGTTGATTCTAAAGGCAGAAAATGACAACAATAAGAAATTATGTTAGTATTGATGAGGGGGTTGGAGGCTAGTAGATATGACTTTCAGTTGAATGAGAATCTAGAAGATAACTACAGATGCATTAATATCAACACCTTGAGTGAAACCCGCCTCGCAATCACCCTTCTCAGAGCTGATAAGATCCCAGCCAAGATGGGAACCATCATTTGACTCATGCTCAATACTTGTTCAGTCTGAACCACTGAATCGAGGCTATCTTTGAATGGTATTTTATTGTTAAGTTTATCAAATCAAACTTGAATAACCAGATCATGAAAATAAAGATAACTGTCTAGATATTACAGAGAAAAGTCAAATAAGATGATATTAAACAGCGCTCCTAATGGATGGTTGTATCCTAGGGACCAAGATTTGAGGAAAGCCTATAATAGGATATAGAATGGAGAAAGTGTTGCAACAGCCCAGCCTTGAGATAAGAAATAAAAAGATGCCACCATTGCAATAAGCCCACCAACCTGGTAAACCATAAGAAAAGACATCAATTATCAGATATTTGATCCATTAATGTTGACGCTTGGGACATTAAATTTGATCCTAATAGCATCACTGATCTCAATTCTAAACAAATATGGCAATAAGACCAATGTGCTGTCCAAATACTTCTGATGTAAGGCAACACAACCCCAGACTATGGAGGCACAAATCTCTTCTACATGAATATAAATAACGAATTAGCTATAGACTGTGGTCAAATGTGTTCACCTTTTTCCAGACATGGCCTTTTCTACCATACAATACTGCAGATAATACTCCAAGAACAACACCAGAATACTCCGCCAATATAGCTCTAGAGAAAACAAAAAAATGAAAATTAATGTAGCCATGGAAACCATTAAAAGTTTCATAAGGGTTAAAGACCATGACAAGATTGATGATAAGCCGCAGAAACAAAAACAGAAATGCTTTGAAAACCCAAACTCTGCAACTGAGCTAATTTGACATAAATGTTAAATATATATAATATTAATTAAGCATATTTAATAAAGTATGTAAATATCAATATATATTTGTAAACTTAATTTATATTACAAATTATTTTTTCCTAGAACTTACAAAATTATTTTAACAAATGTATATGATTGATGATACAGCGTATCAACTGGCCAATGTTCTTGGGGTGTTGAAAGCTTCCTCTTTTTCCTCCTTAGATAATATTAGGAATGCCCGAAGGGGATCCAACTCAGGACGACCAAAAATAAGCAACAGGCCTCCCAAAAATGTGTGTGTGGTGTGTATGTTTGAGAGAGTTGAAAATAGAGCCTAAGAGAAAGAGAGAGTTCAAAATAGAGCCTAAGAGGTCATAAATTAATGAACTTCCAGAGTGTTGCCTATAAATTTAAAGATATAATAGAAATTGCAAGGACCACAACAAAAAATTTTTGCACAGTTCAAATTAAAACAAAACACATTATTTTGTGTCAAACATCTGGCCTAAATCAAATACCCTATAAGCGATGAGTCACAACCTAACATAAGGCTATCAAGTAATCCATGGAGATGAGGAAACCCAAATTATCATGTGCATGCTTGCCAGTATTTGGAACAAATTCTCATAAGGCTTGGACTTGGGGGTTAGAATTTGTGAAAGATGCATTTTTCTAACAACAGATTAAATAGGGTTCATTACAGGAATTGTCCAAGCAAGAACAAGAGGTTTGACACTACAATAAGACATTTACATGCATTTTGCATAATGATATCTCATAAACTCAATAAATAAATATTTACATGTCTGCATATGCTAATAATTCTGACATAGGAGAAAATGGAAAGGAAAATAAACAGGCACTATTTCTATAAGAAAGTTATATCATGTTTATAAAGCATGCAAAGTTTCAAAGATAACATACCCTCTTATATGCTCAATCTAACTACATTAAGCATGTTTGAGACATGCAAATATAGACAGAAGTACGAAAGAATTTCTAATGCATCAGAAAGGTACCTAAGTGGTCCACATGATTTAAGCCCCTTTCCCCACAAGATGAAGTATAAAGCTGTTATTGCTCCACTGATTACAGAAGGAACAACCTGCAAACAAATAACGATGACTTCAAAAAGGAACAAATTAAGGAAAATTATACAAGTTAACACTCTTTCTTCCAATTGTTATTTCTTTTTCATGAAAAGAAGCAATTCTACTACACCTGTGTATTTGAGAGCGGTCTTCCCTTCCAAGGCTTTTGTAAGAATAAAAATAAGATAGATGATGGAACCAGACAACTGAAGATAAAAAGTATCACTGAAGCTCCAGTCTGGTTCAGGTACCGATACATGGAGTAAACTGACCATATTCTCATTAAGTTCCCAACAATGTGGATTATCTGCAATGGAGTTTGCCTACAAGTAAAACAATTAATGGTAAAAAATCTAAGCAGTAGCAAACTAAAATATAATACAATTAATCCATATCCAAGTATATTGTATAACGGTGTTTCAAATGTACTTTAGTATTTACATTTATTTCAATCTCTAAGTAAATAGTTCATTCATTGTTAAGAGTTTAATACCTCAATGATCACCCTAAAGCTGCAACTTATGCTTTTGCCTTCCAAAACATTACTTTAACTAAACTAAGCTAAATTTTCCCATAAACTACGTAGCAGTACTCAACACTGGTAGAGATAATCATTCAATTAAGTTTCTAACAAATTTTTTCTTCAAGGGGAATATTCTCTTAACCTATGCCATATTAATTCCTGCTGGACCAGCAGTAAATCTTATTGGGCTCGGTTATGCAAGTCAAAAAGTGAGTCAGAATTTTTCCAGCAGATCAGGGGAAGTGGGTAAAGGTTGGGAAAGTCAACTTTATTTATCAGCAGAGGTTGGCCTAAAGGATCCAGCAGGGAATGAAGATGAAGACGGGTATGTTGAAGGTTTTAAGGTTACAAGCTCAAGAGGTGGTTCGCAAATTCGTTCTGCAAGCTCGCTATCTATGAAGAACGCCCCGGTTGGAAGGAGGTTAATCAAAAGTTATAAGAGAGTATACAGTAGGTCTAGGGAGAGGAATATATGGCTTCAAAATGTGCAGGGCTTTAAGGTTGTATCAGAGGGGGATTTGAGTAATAAGTTGGGTAGGGCTTTAATTTCAAGAGGATGTCATTATGAAATTCCAGAGGCTACGTTATTATAGAAGGGGACAACGATGATTCGATTATGAGAAGATTCAACAGGAGGTTTAAAAGATCCCTCATTAGGGATGCTTTAGATCATGTTAGTGTTTCTACAATATCCTCATCAGTTTTTCCATTATTGATGGACGAAGCTATTGCTACCTGGGAAATTAACAAGATATTGGGTATATCTTTCAAGGAAGGGAAGAAAGCTTTTCTATAAAAAATATTGAATTTGGAGAAAGGATTGAGTGGAGTTAGTTGAGTTGGTGGGTAACTCCGGGGTTTGTTTGGTATTATCGAACAAGAATATGGTGCCAAAGCTAGTCATTATGTCCTGGAACGTTAGGGGTTTGGAAAAAAAGAAAAACAGAGAGTTGTACAAAAAATATTTTTTGAGAAAAAACCATCGTTTCTTTTTCTACAAGAAACAAAACTTGAGATTATACCAAGTTCTTTTCTAAGGAGAAATGGATTGAATAAGTTGCAAGGATTCTTTGAGCCGCCAGCAGCAGGTTCCTCAGAAGGTATTTTAAGTTGTTGGGATGATAGTATTTTTGAATTAGAAGATCAGCATATTCACAGGAGGTTTATTGCCATTTTCGGGAAGTTTAAATCCAACCAATTTAGGTGTGGCTTCATTAACGTTTATTGTCCATCTGTGGAAGAAGAGAAGGCTGGCTTTTTTGAAGAGCTGGGACTGTTTTTAAATAGGTACAATATACCTTGTTGTATGGGAGGGGACTTCAATGCCTATTTAACTGAAGATGAGAAGGAAGGTAGAGCCCAGAACAAGAATTCTATGGAAATATTTAGTCTCTTTATTCAACAAACGGGGCTAATTGATTTGCCATTAATCGGGGGAATTTTACTTGGAGCAGTAATCGGGTTTTTCCTATTTTTGTGAGATTGGACAGGTTTTTGGTTGACGCTAGTTTCTCATCAGCTTTTTCGGTTATCACCCAATCTCTACTTCCTAAATCTATTTCTGATCATAATGCCGTTATTCTTGAGAATAGGGAAAATTATTGGGGCAAAAGACCGCTCAGACTGTTTAATTATTTAATGACTGAGGATGGTTTTGGGGATAAGGTTGTACAGTCTATCAAGGAGTTCAAGAAGGATAAAAGAAATGCTGGAATTTTGAGCATTCTCATAAACATGAAATTTGCCATTAAGAGCTAGTATGGAAATAGGAAACCGTTTCCACGAGATGTTATTTCTGTCCTAGAAGACAAGATTCACCAATTAGAAAAAAAGGATTCAGCAAAACTAAATTTCCAATGCTTATGACAGTGTAGCAGAGTTGAGGTCTTTGAGAAATGAACTCTGGAGACTTTATAGAATTAAGGAGCAAATCTGGTTCCAAAATTCAAGAGAGAAGTGGGTTAAAGATGGAGATCGGAATTCTAAATTTTTTCACACATGTGCTACTATTAGGAGGAGGATAAATTCTCTTAATGTTAAAGGTGAAATCATTAAAGATCTTGTTCTTATCAAGACAAGTGTCAGAGATCATTTCTTTGAAGCTTTTAACTGCCGTTCAACTTTGAAAGTGGAGGATATTAAGTTGAATTTTTCAAGAATATCTATGGAGCATAGTCTTATGTTAGAGAAGGAGTTTACGGAAGATGAGATTTGGGAAACCTTAAACTCTTATGATAGTAACAAAGCTCCTGGGCTAGATGGGTTGAATATGGGATTTTTTTAAAAGGTTTTGGTATTCCTTGAAAGTTGATATTCTGAAAATTTTTCATAATTTTTTTCTTGGGAAAAGATTGGGAGCATGTCATTAATCACCCTTTCATAACTCTCATTCCAAAGGGCTCTAATATTGGGGGTTTAGATGATTTCAGACCTATTAGCCTAGTAGGTGGGATGTACAAGATTCTTTCCAAGTGTCTTTCGAGAAGGTTGAGAAGTTGCATCAACGATATTATCAGTGATTCGCAATTTGCTTTCATTCCTGGTAGACAAATATTGGACTGCTTCTTTATTGCTAATGAAGGAATTGACTTGTGGAAAAGAAAGGACTGAAGGGTTGCGTGTTTAAGGTGGATTTCAAGAAGGCTTATGATACGATAGATTGAGATATTCTTTTTAAAGTAATGGCTAAAATGGGGTTCGAAACAAAATGGTGTAGTTGGATTCGGAAATGTGTTACAGCAGCTTCCGTGTCAGTGTTGGTTAATGGTGTTCCTACTGAAGAATTTCCAATGGCTAGAGGTCTTAGATAGGGCTGCTCTTTGTCCCCGCTGTTGTTTAATTTCGTTGGCGAGCTTCTTAACCTACTCTGCTCCTTAAGGCGGTATCTTCGGGTATATTTTGTGGTCTGGTTTTTGGCAAATATGAGGTTTCTTTTACTTTATCTCATCTGCAATTCGCAGATGATCTCATCATTTTCTGTAATGCATCGAAGAAACAGATTCTTAATGAGGGCTCTACGAGTTTTCGAAGTTATGTCCGGTCTTCAACTGAATCTCACTAAAAGTAAATTATTTGGTATCAATATTAGTGAGAAAGAGGTAATGCAGTGGGCTATTACTATTGGTTGTTCAGTAGGACATTTCCCTTCGGAATATCTTGGGTTGCCGTTTGGTGCTAAGAGAAATTCTTTAATTTTGTGGGATCCGGTAGTGCAGAAGTTTTATAAAAAGTTAGCCGGCTGGAAGGCTAAGACACTGTCAATGGTAGGAAGATTGGTCTTATTGAAGGCAGTTTTGTGCTCGTTACCTACCTATTTCATGTCTCTGTTCAAGATTTCTTCTTCGGTGATTCTTAAACTCAATTCCATCATGGCCAGATTTTTATGGAGAGGAGGGGAAGAGTTCAAAAAAATTCACTGGGTTAATTGGTCGATAGTGTGTACTGCTAAAAGTGTTGGTGGTCTTGGTGTTGTGGATCTCAGTTATATGAATAGAGCTCTCCTAGGGAAATGGTCTTGGAGGTTTGCTAATGATAGGGAGACTGTGTGGAAGAAGGTGATTTGTAGCAAATATAATATAGACCCTAGATTATTGTTGTTCAAGAACAAACTTCATGCACATACTTCTTGGATATGGAAATCAGTAGTTAAAAATCATTTCAAAGAAGATCAGTTTGGTGCTAAGTTTAGAAGCTTGTTTAAAGTCTGAGTGGGTAATGGAGAGAGCATCAGATTTTGGTTTGATAGTTGGGTTTTAGATTCTCCTCTTAAAGTTGTTTTCCCGAGATTGTTTATTCTCTTTAAACAAGAATGGGAAGCTAAATGAGTTTGGTGAGTTTCGGACATCATGTTGGTCTTGGAATGTTCAGATGATAAGGAATTTGAGTGATTGGGAACTGGATCAATTTTCTGATTTAATGGCTATAATTCACAATATTAGTCTTTCACATGAGTTGACAAATGGGTTGGTCTGGAGAGGGAATGGGGAAGATATTTATTTTGTTAATTCGAGTGTGAAGTCATGTTGCCATGTGTCAACAGCTGAGTCCTTTTGGATGAATAACATTTGGAGGGGCTTGGTGCCTCCTAGAGTGGAAATATTTATGTGGCAGATAGTGTATCAGAGATTGCCAGTAAAACAAGAATTACAGAGGATAGGGGTTTCGGCTATTGTAGATGTTGCATGTCCTTTCTGTAGAAAGGAGGCTGAATCTTCTTCACATTTATTTTTCACTTGCTTCGTGGCTTTGTCCCTATGGAATATATTTTTGAGATTTTGGGATGTTAGTTCAGTTTTACAGGGCAATACTCAAAGATTTATGTTAGCTTGGGAAGATATGGTGCCTTATTCTTCTATTTGGTCATTCATTCCGGAAATGGTTCTTTGGACCATTTGGAAATTTAGTAATGTCATTGTGTTTGAAGGGGAAAGGTTAGATCAGATTGATCTATTCTTTATGACAAGATGTAGGCTCGCTACTTGGTTCTTAGCTAAATTCAAGGATGTGTCTATTTTAAAGGATGCTCTCATTAATGATCCCTCTATAAGGGATTATTGCTCTCCTTCAAGGTTTTTAATCATCAAAATTATGTCTTGGTCTCCTCCTCCAAAAGGCTTTATAAAACTAAATATGGATGCAACTGTGAGTGGAGATTGGAGGAGAAGTGGTGTTAGTGGCATACTAAGAGTTGATGATGGCTAGGTGATGGGTTCTTTCCAAGAGGATGCTGGTCCAGGTCTTCCTCTTTTGATGGAGATTAAGGCAATCAAGAAGGGCTTAATTTTCTTTGATTCGATCCATCAGCGGTTTAAAGAACGTTTGATAATTGAAAGTGACAATAAACTAACAGTGGATTGGGTTAAGAATTATGACATTTGTCCCTATGCCTATATAGACTTAGTGAAAGACATTGTTACTATGCTAAGAGATTTGAAGGGTGTTATTAGATGAGTTGCTAGGTCAGCCAATATTGAGGCTGATAGCTTAGCTAAGGTTGGTATTGGTTAGTTTCACTGTTTTGTTTAGGCTGTTTTTATGCTTTGGGTTGGTTATGTAAAGGGAGTGTTTATGTTTGTTTTTAAACATTATGTATCTTTCGGTTATTTTTTTTTGGGTAATTCATCAATTTTATTACCCAAAGAAGCATAAAATTCTACAAAAAATACCGATCTCAACACCTAATGTACAAACTACATACAAAAAATATCAGATCGGTTCTAATATAAACCCCATGAAGTACAAAGGTTAGAGTTAACTCTATCAGTCCTATTAATGTTTTTCCTCCTAAGCTTGATTCCTACAAATTCTTTGATGCAAATCAGGAGATCATCATTGGCTCGGTGGTATCCTCTAAATATTCATCTGTTACACTCCTCCCACAAAAGGTATAAAGAAGCACACCATGCAAGCTTAAGGATTGTAGATAAGAGAGACTTTCCTTTTCAAGATCTAGAAGCCCAAACTAGCAATTCCTCCCATGTTGAGCATTGTTTATTGATGCTGCTGAGAATTAGAATATTTTTCCATAAGAATGAAGCAGTATCGCAGTCAAAGAACAGGTGGTTTCTAGATTCCATTTTATCATTGCACAGAACGCAATTCCCTTCGGTGATAATTCCCATTCTCATCAGTCGGTCTCGGGTTGGCAGTCTGTCGAGGATTGTCATCCAAGCAATGAGACTGTGCTTAGGAATATGTTGTGGGAACCAAATCACTGAATGCCAGGGAACTTTGATTTCCTTCACCCTAATCTCCTGCCAAATGTCTTTAATAGAGGATGCCCCATTCGAAATAGGTGTGGTTGCTGCACTGCGTAATTCGAGGATACGATTGAAACTCCAACTGAAACTGGTTCTGTTTTCCATTTGCCATAGATTTCTACCCTTTATTACATAAGCATGGTTCCAAGCAATCCATAGAGATCTTTCGGTTATTAATGAATTCTAAAGCACTCTTTTCCTCATTTTGCTGATTAAGGAGCATCTTGTGATCCATCAATCATGAAGGAGGTTTTTAACGAAGCATACTCTTCTTATAAAAAAGAAGAAGTGAGAAGCCATATCAACAATGAAAAACTGAAATCCCACTGACGGAACAAATATGTAAAATGCAAAGGCAAAGCTCTCAACCAACATTAAGCCAAGCAGACAATTAAAAAAAGGCACTCGAGAGCCTTTAGCTGCTTACTTCTTTGATCAAGCAAATTGATAAGCTACAGTATTCTGTTCAGTAATGCTAAACACGCTAGATGCTAAAACAAGGTAAGGTGTTGCCAAGAAAATGCCGGAAAACAGAAAGTAAATCAAATTTATATGAATTTCATAATATCATTTTAAGTAAAAAAAACAGTTGACCTAAAATCTGCAACATAAACATAAGATTCCAGTTAGGGGTGTAAACGAGCCGAGTTGAACTCGAGTATTGCTGAGCTCGACTCGACTAGAAAACTCTGAAATGAAACTCGACTCGACTCGAAAACTCGCGAGTTTAAAATTTTCAAGCTCGACTCGAACTCGAAATCCTGAACTGAAGCTCGTGAACAGCTCGAAAAGACTCGAAATGAAAAAAAAATCTTAAATTTCACTCGAATGAAGCCTTAAACTAAATCATGAAATCTTATTGTATTTTAAAAAAAAATCAATACATAAATATTAATATTATTAATAATTGATTTTTTAAAAAAAATAAATTTTAATATATTATATTTTCAAGTTGTTCACTAACTTTTCGAGTCGAATATCGAGTAGTTCGTTTCAAGTTGAGTCCATTCGATCCGAGTATTTATCGAGGTTTGATCGAGTAACTCGCAATATGTCTTATCTCATTTACAGTCTTAATTCGATCTTCTCATTCTTCCATAAATTTCCTTTTTCCCTGGAAAACCAAACATAAAATCTAGGGTTCTAAAGAAAATCAAATTAAAACTGAAAAATTGAGAGATTTGTTTTATTTTAAAACATACCTGAAATGAGACGATCCACGAACCTCAGAGATTGGCCTTGGGGACATCATTTTCAAAGAGAGAAGAAAAAAAACGAATTTGGTATCTGAAAAGGAGAATATTTATAGCTTATTATGAGAGAGTGGTCTAATTTGGATTAGACAAATCTTAAACAGATGTTAATTTTACTGATAATCAGTGTTCAACAAGCAAAATAAAAATGAATAAATGGGCAAAAAGAGAGAAAACGTCACATAAAACTCAAATGTTTAGGACTGGCCTTCGTTGGAGGATTAGGCTTTAATATTCAATTCCTTCTTGTTATTTTTCTTTTTGGTTAGGCCGTTCTTAATTCAATTTCAAGTTTTCAATAATATTTTGATACTATATTTTGTTTGTAGATGTGTTATTTATTTCTTGAATTTTAATATATGATTTAGTTGTAACTTAATTTTATCCGTTAAATTTTAGTTATTCACATAGTTTAATTTATGCAAAAAGAATGGATACATATTCTTATTTTAAATATATATTATTCTTTATTTAATTTTTATTTATCTTTCTAATTTTAATTTATATTAGTACTATTTTTTTATGCCATGAATCAAACTCACGTAATTATTAACTTTTATTCTTGTTTCAATACGTATGTAACCAAACATAGCATGAGTGTGTTCCGAAAGTCATAAAATACTTTTTAAAATGATAAATTAGGTTTTCAAGGGTAAGATCTAATAAACATAACATAAATCTAATATAAAAATTCAAATGACTTGAAGAAAAATAAAGTCAAACCTTCTCATAAATATATGTTTTATTTCTAAAAATAAAACTAGTAACTATTAATGATCATTTTGTCTATGAGATCTATTAATTGGTAGAGTGATTAGGAATGTTATATTATCTAATTTTGTATAGATTTAAAATTTGATATTTATTTTAAAAATATAATACATATCTACTTAATAAAAAAATAATTATGTATCAAGCATTTGATAAAAGAAACAAAATAAAACGAAAAAAATATTTATTTAGATTTAAATAAAAAAATTAAGAAAAAAATAGACGAGGGTACCAAGCCGCCGTTTAAGCCAATATTAAAAAAAAATTAGAAAATCATTTTAAAGAGAAAACTAGAGCTTAAAGTTAAAAAAATTGAAATAAAAGTTATAAAATAAGTAGATTTGGATATAATTGTATGTAATACATGTGTGGCATTTTTACGTCAACTGTTGTAATTACTGGGTTGATTTGAATGGAATGTAATTCAATCATTATGATTAGACTTTTTTTTTAATTTAGAATAAATATAAGACCATATATGTTCAAAGATAACTCATAATTATTTGATATTGAAGATTTACATCCCTAACATTTCTAGTACTTGAATCCAAAATTTAAAGGAATAACAACAATTTATTTATTCCGAGGTCATTTAATTCGTGTCATGGGTAGACTCTTCCGTAGTTAAGGGTAAGAACTAAAAACTAGAATAATTAAGTGTTCAAACCTTTCTTTATTCAATTTTTAATTAGCGATCCTCGCTAAATTGTGTAATTACACTACAGAACCATACATATATATTGAATTGTAATTACTTATAAATTACGAGAGTATGCAGCCAGTACCTAATGATTACATTTCTTGTAATTGCTTTCAAACATACCTCTAATTTATCTTCGAAGAACAAGATTGAGATATATAATACTAGTAAATTACTATTTTATCCATTACTTTTCAATACATAAATCTGACATATAGTTTATGTAAATTATACTTATTAATGATGATGAATGACGATTATGTTTGTCAGCCTAGTAGTTAAAAAGCTCTTTTAAATAAATCAAAAGCTTTATTTTGTTATATAACCCAAGATGAAAATAAGCTTCAGTCAGTAGAATTGCATAAACCATTTCCAGGATAGATCAAATTTAAAGTACAGATATATAGGAAATGGATTTTAATTTATTCATTTTTATATTCTAATAAACATGAATGGTATTACCTATGACTATATATATGCAAGTCCTAAAATTACATTATAATGCATAAAAAAACTGATGGCATAAATACATGCAAAATTATATGACTAACAAACTATTTACTCCCTAAGGCTGCTGATGGCTCCGGTTCAGTTCTAAAGTCATAAGGCAGCATGAAAGAACCTGCTGTTCACTCCTGCCCTGTAAACCTGCAGTTCAGATGTAGTAGTAATGCTAATCTCCGTGTTCGACGTTGCAAAGAGCACATCTCCTTCTTTGACTACGTCTTCCCGTGATCCAGTGCACAGTGTTCCCTTCCCAAGAAATACAAGGAAAATAGAAGGGCCTGGAATGGCCGGGAAAACTGCCAATGCTCCTTTTGGAAGAATGCAACGATCAACTTCAAACTCTTCAAACGGCGGGAGATACCTGGTTATGTATTGACTCAATGGAAATCCTTTCAGGATTTCGGGATATCCCTGGAACAGAAACAATAAAGAATCAAAATTTGAAGATACATAACTTCGGTTACCTTCTAGTTCATAGAACTAATACAAAAGTCAAATAAGAACAAAATAAAAAGACTTAACATGATAGAAGAAAGCATATACGTTCAGATATTAAATCCCAAATCAGGTAAGCATATATGTTCAGATATTCTACGGCACATAATACGTAGCACAGACACAAGCATACACGTTAACAAGATTTCCCGGAAATTTTGTTTCTTATATGAAGCTGAATGCGCAGAAAAATAGGTGACGCAACTGCAGAGACCAAAGTTTGTTTTTTTGAATAAATTTCAATGAATACACGAGAACGAGCCTCGGGGTAATTTTTGTTTCATAATGAGATACCTTTTTCTAAATCCAAGCAGTTGTGTATAATTTCCCATCTTACATTATCAAGGAAAATGCCCCATTGAGGAAGACAAACAAATGTCGGAAATCCAGCCACAGAAATAAAACATAAGCCAAAAGCATTGTATAATCAAATTCCGTAGAGAAGAAGTGAGTTCAGCAAGAAAAATTGCATACGAGGTATTACTCAAACCCACACACAGGAAACATTGTGAATAATTTTAATCTCAAATAAAAATTTGTCAAAACCTTGATTAAAAACTTGTACCTGCTTATATGTTAGCATGGAACAAAGAGTTTGGATATCACGGTGCTTGGGAGTGAGACCAGCTCGGACAACATTGTCTGATGTTGCCATGCATTCGATGCACTCCCCACTTAAGTATGCATGGGGTTCATTTGCCCCAAGATACAATGCTTCACCAGGATTAAGTTTCACATAATTGAAGAAAAAGGCCGCTACAACACCTATGTCGCCTGGGTATTGCTTATCCAAGTGCAACACCAACTGTTCCTTATCCGTCAGACACCGTAACTGATTCCAAAGAAAACAGAACGAAGTGTAAAGGTAAAGGATATGCCCAGAAGACACCATCAACAACTTTAAAAGCTGGAAAGAAAAAGAGAACATAATCTATTAAAGATATTAGTACCATAAGTCTATAATAATAAACAAAATTAATTAAGAGAATCAGCCGTGCCAGGCTGACTGGGGGAGAAGAGGGAGGGGGCACAAAAGCATATGATGCACTCTTTGCAGCCAAATTTACAACTCAATGGCATCTTTGTCCCTGGCAGGTTTTGCTAGACAGAACAAACATTTGCGAAATGAGCAATGTTGAGTCCCCTTAGAAATTGCAACAGTTTAAATTAGTACAATGGTGAAATTCTATACCCCCCAAATGATAACTTTATGATTTAGTACCTTCAAAATTTGTAAAATTTTAAATTAATACAATGTTAAAAAAATATTTAGGCTCTTGACTATTTCATTCAACTCCCACCACCACCACCACCACATTTTTTCCCGGCTTCATTCTGACAATTAGATGACATTTTTCTGTCAGTGCAGTGGGTACTGAAGTGATATTTTATTCTAAGGACAGAAGACCTAGAAAACTAAAGCCTAGAAGGAAAATTTGTTTATTATTGTCTGCATGAGGTTAAAGGGTTTCTTTAAATAAATAAAACTTTCTTAGGAGCCGCTTTTTGTAAATATGTGGATGGAAGCCTAATCAGACTAATACAAAAAAAAAACTTCAAGCCTTCAGAACAGCCACTTTATGAAGGAACACTAAAGGGTAGGACCACATCAATCTTCCTGTCCATATCATTTCTTGAAGAAACATAACCAGGTGATGAGCCTTGACCTTTACCGGTTTTATGCTTCTATGCAGTAAAGAAAAGAATTTTATAAACCTGACTTTCTACGTGCAGCCGACTTTTCAGTTTTGATATTGCTTTCGTTGCCATATCCTTGCTAGCTGACATAAGTTGCGTAAAGACCGACCGTAGAGCATATTTTGCTTTCTCTGCACCATCTTGCCTGTCAATATCTAAGACTTGCTTTGCCAATGCAGTGCCAACCAATTCTACGATCTCCGGAACATCTATAAGCACACCCTTAAGCTCCTACAAAGAAGACAAATACTTGCTTCAAATATATGACAATAGTTGGCAGAATCAAAAGAAAATGTTAAGTACAAACAAGAAGCATCCTTCAGCTAATACAAAACAAATATTAAAGACAACCTGCAACAATCCTCAAGATATTGCCGACATAGTTTGGAAATAACAGAAAATAAGCAGTACAGGACAAAGAAAGGCTTAACAATACACTTGAATATTTATCCTTTTTTTCACAATTAAAAAATTATATTCCCCAGCATTCAGAAGCTCTATGAAATTGCTAGACTGGGTATCAAACTTCTAAAATGTGATGGTACCTGTTCCGGAGTATCATAACATATACAGAAAACAAGTTTCAAAATATTAATAACCCTCTAATATCAATAGACATGAGAACGTTCTGGCACTGTGACTTAAATTTCACGTAGAGATAGCAAGTATAATATTTATGCCTAGGCGGTTTAGGCAAAAACAAGACCAACCAGAAAAGGTGACAGTGGGTTCACAGAAAATCAAGATCGATTATCTTATGTCTCGATTCCAGATGTGATTCGGACTCAAAGTTTCATCATGCATATCATTTCCATAATATAGTTGCAAAATGTGATTACCAAGAATTTTAGCAAACATAAAGGCAAGAGTTATTCACTCCAAGAAGACAACCAGCAAAGGGAAGTTCCACCACCAAAAACAGAGCATGATTCATGT